ACCCAATCCTACACACCCGCCCCCACTCACCGCCGCTGCGCCGCCCAGCGCCCCCGCTCCCCCGCCTTCCGCCGGTCCCGGTACCGTCCTGAGCAGCTCCGGAAGGCCCAGAGAGGCCTCCAGCAGCGCCAACCTGGCCCCGTGCAGCGCCCCCAGCTGCACCTCCAGACGGCAGCTCTCCATGGCGCTCTCGTCCGCACTCGCCATCCGCAGCAGCTGCTGCAACATGGCCTTGTCGTCCATACGAGCAGCCAAGTACACGGCGCTGCCTCGGCGACCCAGACCGCTAGCCTTCACACCGCTAGCCAGTGTGACCAACGTCCTGGGGCCGCTGGGTACCAGCTGGGAGCCGGAAGGCGCGGAGGAGATGGGAGCGGAGGAGGTGGACGCAGCGTCGCCGCCGCCGCCGCCTGCGGCGGCGGCGGCGGCGGCGGCGGCTTCGCCGCCGTCGCAGTAGTACTGGCTGCTCCGGGTGCGGCTGGCAGCGCCGACGGCTGTGGAGATGCCGCCTGCGGCGGCCGCGGCGGTCGTACTGCCCGTACGCGGCGGCGCGCTGGCGTCCGCAGCCGCAGGCGTGGCGCCCGCGGACAGCAGCAGCTGCGCGGCCGCCGTGTCGCCTGCCCGCACCGCGAGCATCAGCGCCGAGTCACCGGCGTGGGTGCGGTGGGCGTTCAGGCGGCGAGCGCCGTACGCCGCCAGCAGCGCCGACAAGCAGCCGTTGTCCGCCAGGCGGGCACGGGCCAGTACGGCATGATCGACCGCCGTCAGCCCAGCGGCATCTTCTGCATCTACACGTGCTCCCAGTGACAGCAGCAGCTCCAGGAGGGGCAGGTGGCCCTTGAGGGACACCTGGAGGTGGGTGGTGAGGTGCATGTGTGTGGGGGGGGGACGAGCGGATAGGGGTTTCGGAGGTTTCGGCAGTTTCGGAGTTGCCATGCAGTTCACCTACGGAAAGGCAGTGCAGGAAAAGGCCTGCGTCGCAACTGTGTGTACCACAGCCGTACACACACATCGTGGATCAAAGTTTTTTCGCGTCCGGCGGCCACTCCGGCCATGTGAGCTTCCAGCACCTTCCTCCCCCCCCCATAGATACATACGTGCATACACACACACACACACAACCGGCCCCACCTGCATCAGTAAGGACTCCCCCCCGGCTGAGGGCTCCCGCTGGAAGTTCACGTCGGCACCCGCCTTGACCAGCTCCGCCGCCACGTCCGCCGCCGCCTTCCCGGGGGAGGTCAGCCGCGTGGCGGCGGCCACACTGGAAAGCCGCGACAACACACCGTCAGCGGCATCGACGCCAGGCGCCGTCGCCGCCGCCGCCGCCGCAGCGGCAGCGGCAGCAGCCGCATCTACGGTAGAGCCGCTGATATTGCACTGCTGTGCCGCCTCCACCAGCGCGCACAGCGCGCGCGTGGCATCCGCAGCGCTGATCTTGTCGTACGTGATCCACCGCCGTACGACGCCGACATTTGACGCGCGGACGGCCGGCAGCACTTCCCCCTCCCAGCTCATGTACACGTGGGCGCGGGAGGACAGGAAGGCGGCCAACGTGTCGTACCGAGGAGGGTCGGCGCCGGAGGCCGCGGTGGCGGCGGCGACAATGCTGGCGGCGCCAGGCGGCGGCGGCAGCGGCGGCGCGGCGGCGCTTGCCTTGCACAATGCAAGAGCCGCCGCCAGCTCGCCCTCGTACAGGCTGCCCCCAAGGCCGTCAGCGTCGAGGGCCAGCTTGGCGGCGCCGACACGGCCGCCGCGAATCGCACCAATCAGTGCGTCACGCCGCCGCGCCGCCGCCTGCTCGGCGCTAACAGCAGCGAGCGGGGCCTTACGCCCAACCGCTGACGACGGCCCTCCCAGGAGTACGGCTAATGCCGAGAGCGCACCCATCCGAGCCGCCTCGTGACCCACGTACCACAGCCCGGCCGCCGCCGCCGGCCGCTTTCCGCTGCCAGTCACCGCCGCTGACGGCAGCAGCTCCCGGGGCACGTCCGGCGCACCTGGCGCCGCCGGGACAGGAGAGGCCCATGGGTCAGCCCCAGCGGCACACAGCTTCGAAAGCACGGCAGGCAGGCCTGCCAGCACCGCGACCACGGCAGGCGTAAGGCCCTTGTCGTTACGCACCGCCAGCAGCTCCGCCACATGCTCCGTCGCCAACAGCACGTCAATGCATTCCGCGGCGGCGGCCTCCGCTGCCGCCGCATCGCCGTGGCCGATGCTATTGGCGCGGCTGACGCCGCTGGGTTGTGATTGTACGGCCCGTACGACGTCAGGGTCATCGTTCTCACGCGCCGCGGCTGCCGCTGCCGCCGCCACTCGTACGGCAAAGAACAGGGCATTCTCGCCGTCGGCGTCACGTCGTCGAGGGTCGGCGCCAGCTTTAAGCAACTGCCGTACAGTCGCCGGCGCCGGCGCTAGCAGCGCCACCTGCAACGGCCGCAACGTCGCCAAGTCCCGGGTGGATGCCTTTGCTTTCGCCGCCACCGCCGCTACCAGCGGCGCCGCCGCCGGATCGACGACCCATTCATGCTCCACGTCGGCACCGGCGTCCAGCAGCGCCTGTACGGATGCCGTAGCGCTGTCCTGCCATATCGGCGAACCCAGCCGCTCCGAGCATAGCAATGTCGTCAGAGCGCGGTCCACCTAGCCCGTGGACACGACGCACATACATACATACATACACACACGACAACCATTTACGACAGTTTAGTATGACGGGCATGCAAGTGCGCGCCCGAGAGCAGCTCTCCCTCCTCATCCCTCTGATCCTACAGTTCCAGCACAACCTGTTTGCTATCTCTAACCGGCCACACGCCATAGGGCTCCAGCGGCAGGAGGTGGGGTGGTGGTGGTGGCGAGAACCGTCCATACACCGTCCTTTTTTGAAAGTAATTTTTCGGAAACTGTGACGTTTGTTACCCTCTATAAAGGTGTAATGCACCCATATATGAATTAGTAATTATGGGATTAATAACAGACATAGACAGGCAGACAGACAGACAGATAGACAGATTCGTCCCTCCTCCCACCTCCAAAGGCGAAGGCCGGTCCCTCAACAGCCAATCGCCAACGACCGCCTCGTCGAACCGCCGCAGGGCCGCAACCACCTCCCGCTCCCAGGACATGTACGTGTGGGCCTTGCGGGTCAGCAGCTCCTCCACCTGGCGCTGGTTTCGGGGCTGGGCCAGTCGGCACGCCCCGCTGGCGGCCTCCAGCTCGTCACGACTCAGCCGGTCAAACGGCGGCGGCTTGTCCAAAATCTGATCATGGGTGCGCATTGCCGTCGAGTTGCCGTTGGGGGAAGAGAAGAGAGGAGAGGAGAAGAAAGGGATGGGGAGGTTTGGCTGTTAGGAGGCGCGGAGGGAAGTGGGGAAGATGTCATTAAGGGTGGGCCCCCAACAAGCTGAGCAATGTTGGAAACAGGTGTTCCGACGACTCGAACTGTCGACCTGTCGATTGATGTATAGGGGCTCTACCAGGGAATGGTGCGGAATTCCGGAAATATCCCTTGTTTCAATATTGTCCCGGTTTGGATAATAACAAAAATAACCAACTAACGGTGAAAAAATGCTCCGACGCAGAATGGAAAACGATTGTTTGATTTGGAGGAAGATCTGGCCGTGTAGGGCAGTACGGCGTTGTCGTGGCAGTGCAATTCGTCGCTGCAGCGACTGCTTTGGCACTGGGTTCAGGTTTTCGTCGCAACGTTAGGCCTACCTACCCACCTACCTACCTACCTACCCACCTAACTAATTAACTACCCACCCAGTTTATCTGCTTGGTATGGCCCCCACCAACCCGAATCTTTCTTGTACAAGCACGGCGCCAAGTTGCACTACAGACACCTACCTACGAGCCAATACCCCGGGTCCACTCCGACATTCCCCACCCCCTGCAGACAACAACTGCTCCTGCGCTTCATCAAAAGTCCATTTCTTCCCAACCCTCGGTCTACCCCCGCCCCCTTACCGCTGCCAGCACCTCCACACGGCCCCCCGCCGCCGCCCCCATCAGCAGCTGCCGCCGCCGGTCGGCAAACAGCCGTTCCTCCGGGCCGTACAGCCAAGACAGCGGCCGGGCTGGGTCTCGGAGCGGGCCGGCGGAGGAGGGCGGCCGCAGCGGAGGCGGCATGTCCCACACGTCCAACGTGAGACCCAACAGGCCGGCAAGGAAGGCGCACGAGGCCTCGTCGTCGCCGTTGTTGTCGTCGTCGACGCCGGCGGCTGCCGCCTCCGCCGATAGGCCCGCGGACAGGAGCCACTTGAGCGCCGCAGAGCGACCGTATCGTACGGAAAAGCGAAGCAGGTCGTCACAATAGCGACCGTCTGTGGTGAGGGCGGCAGCGCGCTGCAGCCCGATGTGCTGAACCAAGACGCGCAGGCAGTGAAGCCCGGCGGCGGCACTGCCGCCGCCGTCGCCGCTCCCCGGTTCCGCCGCAGCGCCGCCGGCGGCAGCTGCTGCCGCAGCCGCTGCGCTGCCGCTGCTGTTGCTGCTCCCCGCGCCTGCCGCTGTCGCCGCCATCGTACCCGTCGGCGTCAGCCGTCGATTGGCCCAGGCCGATTGCGACGGGGGCGTCGCCAGTACGGCACGATGCACTGCTGTCCAACCGCTGGCCGGGTGTACGGCCATTGGGTTTGCACCGCCAGCGAGCAACACCTCCACGACAGCGTGCGACGCCAGCTCCGCCGCGCGCATCACCGGCGTAAGGCCCTCCAGAGCTCCCGTCGCCGTCGCCATCGTCCCCGGCCACCAAGCTATCGACGGCGGCGGCGCCGTCGCCATCGAGGCCGCCGCCGCCACCGACGAGTCCTTCACGCGACTGGCGGACGCGGGACGCGCCGTCGACACCGAATTACCAGCGCTGCCGCGGCCGGCGGAGGCGCCGCCAGCGGACGGAACCGTGGGTCGCGGCGCGTCGGGACGTGCGCCGCCGCGGAGCAGTACTCGTACGATATCTGGTGCTCGTGCCTCCACCGCCAGCCACATTGCCGCATCCAGCTCCTCCTGTTCCCGGGTGCCGTTGCGGCCGCCATGGAAGCCGACCCTGCTCCCACAAGGCCACGTAATGAGGTTGGGATATCCGTACCACGTGACGGGATTGGGATATTCGTACACAACATGACATGACAGTTTCAAAGGGCAATCAATCCTCCATATATGTGCGCGTATGCGTGTATGTATGCGTGTATGTATGTATGTGTGTGTGTGTGTGCGTTTCACCTCCTGGAGTTTTGCGTTACCCTCCGAAGGCGCAACCTGGGGCCCGATACCATAGCTGTGTGAGGGGTCCAACGGCCTTAGGGAGCCTAGGTGCGTTTGAAATAGATAGATAGAGAGATAGAGATAGAGAGAACACAAACACCAGGAGGTTAAAAAACACGAAAGCCTTTCATCCCATCACTCAACACGAAAATCAATAAATTAATAATCTCTATAGATCATAACAGCGGTTGCAATATACAGCTGCGAATGCCTCCATGGAGAAGTGGTTCAGTCCAACCCCTGAAGGTTCTTCAAGAGTTCGCCTAAGAAGTTAACAGAGGACACAAGAGAGGATGCGAACACGCACATCCGTAAAACCATCCGTACGCCAATTACAGCCCCCATCCTACTATGGCTCCTGATTGCCAAAACAGGATCACAGGCTGATGCTTTTAAAAAACTTAAATGGCTACTTCCTAAGCCCTGTTCCCCTTTCCGGATTCCCTCAGAGCTATATATTACAGTCTTGATCGGGCTACAAGCCAAGCTCGCGCTACCGGCCGGCCGTCCGCTCGCGTACCCGCTGGGCCCCCCCGCTGGCCCCCAGCCCCACTACCCACCCCACCCACGCACGCACCACGCCGCCACTTCTTCCAAGTCCCGTGCATCCAGCGCCGCTCGCAGCCGCTGCCGCCATTGCCGTTGCTGAGCCACCTGGCCGCGGTGTGAGGCACAAGGGGGGGAGGGGGGCAGGGCAGTCGGCAAGGGTACATGGCGAGAGGAGTGGAGGGGTTTGCGCATGCGGATCAGTTGGCGGTTGCATCACCGGGTGAATAGCGGAGTCCAGGGAACCCAGCAACTCCATTCCAACACACCGACTGCGGGCAGTGAGAGAGATCCCGGGGGGGTGCCAGAGAGAGAGAGGGACATATACCCGGCCGTTTTTCCCCCCGCCCCCTTCCCCCCAGGCGGGAAGGGAATGGGCAAAACCCAGGTACGGCACGCAATGGTACGGTGTTTTTGCGTACCGAGGCGTAAGAGCAGGAGTATTAGGACTGGAAAGGGGAGCCCCCATCGTGAGTGATGGGGATGATGGGGTTTTAAACTAGAGTGCCACGGAGTACGATGTCCCAGGTCAAGGCATGTAAGCGTTACGCACCTTGCTTCCGGAGGAGAAGCAAGGCAAGCAGCCGCCGCCACCTCCTGCCGACGGTTCCGGAGCATCCTCCACTTCCCCCCGGCCCATCAGCTGAGTCCAATCTGGGGCCCCAAAGGGAAGGGGTGGTCAAGGGAGGGTCATCGAGGTACCGGTGGGATGGCGTTACGGTGCCGCGCCCTGGTCTGCACGCCCCTAGCTAGCCAGCTCGCGGAGGTACCTGCTCCCGGATTGCCTGCCCCCTCGTCCCCCATACACCTACACGATAAAGACTACTACCGGAAATCTCTGATTCTCTGCTTGCAGTTGCAGTTTGGCGTCGGATGGGCGGCGAAACAAACAGCGACTTTTCACATAACTGTGCTGAGTTCATGTGTGTGTATGTGTGTGTGTATGTGTGTGTATGTGCGTGTGTGTGTATTCCACCTGGAGTTGCGTTAACCCCCTCCAAAGGGTTTACAGCGAGGACCCTCCCCCATACATACCCTGAGCCCTGATGCCCTGGGCCAAAGGCACAGCAACAGCAAGGGCCGTCCGAAATAAACATCACACAGATATCAGTCACAAAACACACGCAAGGTCTTCACGCCGGTAGAACTCAGGGGTGCGGGGGAAAGCCCACCTGCTGCAGGTGGCAAAAAGAACGCCGCCTCCAGATCTTCGCCACTCGACGGGCTGACAGCATCCGGCCGTACGAACAACGCCGAAGATTTCTTTCCCACAGCGGAGACTACAGAACCCGTTGCCCCGGCCACGCCATCCATGCCCGTATTCGATACCCTGTCCTTCGTACGGGGCACCGTCGCCGCTGCCGTCGCCGCTACCGTCCTAGAGGCGACGGCACCGCCGCCGCCGCCGCCGTCACACTTTCCGTCATCGTCGTCGTCGTCGTCATCATCATCATCGCCGCCGCCGCCACGGTCAACGCCGCAGCTCCGCGGCCCCGCCGCTGCCTTCACTCTCGCCTCCAAGTCTGCCCCCACGCTTGCAGTCGCCATCAGGATTTGCACTGGATCTTGCTTGACCACCGCCGCTGGGGGCGGCGGCGGCGGCAGCGGCGGCGGTGGCACTTGGTCAAAGTCGGACGACCCGATCGATTCGGCGGCAATGTCGTACGCTGGAACCAGTAGCCGCCGGGAGCTGCGTGTCGTCCCCAAGCGACCCCGGAAGGCGCTCGGACCCGTGCTTCGCTCCTCCGTCGGCGTGGCGGCGGCATCGCCGTCGCCGTCGCCGTCGCTGCCGCGGCTGGCATCGCTGTCGGTGCGCAGCGGCGGCAACTTGGCACCTCGAAATTGCGAGTGCCCCGACGTGACCGAGGGCGCCGCCGACTCCACACACAACGTCTCCACGGTGTTTTCCTCCAGCCGTATCCGTACGCTCCGATGGCCAGCGCCCAGGATGCGGCCGCCGGCGCCGGCGCCTCCGCCGCCGCTGGCTCCGCCGCCGCCGCGGCTGGCGCCGCGCAGCAGGCTGCGCATGGGCAGCAGAGCGGCGTTGGCGGCGTTGGCGGTACCGCCGGGCTGGTTGGGGCTGGGGCGGCCGCTACCGTTCTCTGATAGGAATGTGACTCGTGTGTGCGGCAGAGCGCCGCTACCCGACTCGGAGGGCTCCGTGAAGCCGGGCAGCGGGAAGACGGGGGGGACCGCCGCCGGCGCGACAGGCGGGCGACCAGATGCGGCTTTGTCGGCGGCAGCTGCGGGATGTGGGGGTTAGGGATGGGGGTAAGACGGACCACTGGATGGGGGATGCGAAAGAAAGGTTGCATGGCGAGAGTGAATCCAAAATCATGCAAATGCAAAAGTTTGTATGGGCTGGGTGTGTGTGCCGGAGGCAGAGGCAAGACCCTGGCTGGTTTCACCCTGCCTGGTGAAATGACATCCCGCAGCGGCACCCCGCTGGCGGCCCGGGGGACCCTGCTCACCTTCTCCGCACGTAACACCCTGCAGTACGACACTCGCGGCGCCGCCGCCCCTCGCCGCCGCCGCCAGCAGCTCCCGCGGCACCGCGTCGAACATGGGAAGCAGCAGCCGGCGCTGATCCCCGGGTCGGGAGCCGGGATCATGCAAGGACTCCACGAAAAAGGCGCTGACAGCGGCACCTGCTTGTACGGTGCCGTACCTACCGGGTACGAAGCCGCGCACCGGGCCGCGGTACAGTGTCGCATGGAGATCAGGTGGCGATATGGTATGACCTCGTGTGTGAACATCACACGTGACGGTAGCAGCGGCCAATAAACATCCCCAGCCTACAAGCTCCCCCCCTCTGTCCCTAGCCCTAATTTCCCCCCCCCTTTCCCCCTTCCCCCTTCCCACCCTTTCCCCCCCCAAATTACACCTCTTATATCCACAACCTGCCTGCCTGCCTGCCTCTCTCCCCCGTCCCGGCCCGCCACTACCGCTACCGCACCACACCCCTCATCAAGGAAGTCGATCCGAGTTAATCGTTTCAACGTTTTAATGGTCACTTCATTTTCCCCGCCATCCAACCCCACTCCCCGCTCACTTCGCCCTCAGAGCCTTCATGGCCGCCGTCATCAGGTCCGCCACCATCACCTCCCCGACGCCGCCAGGGACGAGGGCGGACACGGCCAACTCCACCGGACACGGGCCCCCGGGGTTGCCCTCCAGCGTCACCACCACGCTGCCAGCAGGAGGATCAGACAGCGCCCGCGGCAGGGAGGGCGGCGGCGGCGAGTGTGTTGATAACGACAGCGCCGGTTGCGCCGGCGGCGGGGGCGTCGGAGGCGCTGTCGGCTGCGGAACCTCCGCCTCCGCCTCCACCTCCGTCGCTCGGATGCTTTTCCTCGAGGCGCTGGAGTCGAAACGGAGGACCGGCGCGGACGCCGCCCCCTCCGCCGGCCGCGGCGGCGCCTCCGCCGACGGCTCCTCCACCCAAGCGGCGCTCCCGGTCCGGGTACGCGGAGGAGGTTTCGGCGCCGCCTCGGCTGTCGTACTTAGGGGGGCCCTAAGCACCTTTCCGTCAGAGTCATTGGCCGCGTCGGTAGCGGCGGCGGCAGCAGCGGGTACGGATCCACTGTCGCCGCCGCTGCCGCCGCCCGAGGCGGAGCGCAACGGGGGCGCGGAGATGACTTTCAAAGAGGGTGGACCTTTGATGGTTGGAGCGGGTGGGGCGGGCTTGACGGCAATACAGTCCACGTCAGGTGCTGGGGCGATTTGGGTTACGGGCGTCACTTCTGTTAATGCGGCGGCTGCGCCCGGGACAGATGCGGTGGCGGCGAGGGAGGGAGCGTTCGTAGCCACGGAGGCGGTGGTCAGGGTCCGTACGGATACTTCCGGATTCGTGCTGGATGCGGCTGCTGGCGCAGAGACGCCGCCTGCGCCATTGACTTCGCCGGCGGCGGCAGCTGCGAGTACGACAGGGCTTTGACCTGATAAAGACGTACGAGGCTCAGGATGTCCATTTCCGGCACCGTCGGACCTCGGCGGCGGCGCTGCTACTGTATCGGCGGTGGCGACAGCTGGGCCCACAGCGGGTGGCAGCGGCGGCGGCGAGGTGGCCCCCGCCCCCGCGCACACAGCCTCAGTGTCGGCAGGCGGTGGTGCGGCGCCCGTAGGTGGCTGAGGACCCCCGGAACCCTCAGGCGTCTGGGAGCCAGTAACGGCGGCAACTACGCCGCCACCGCTGTCGCCATCGCCGGTGCCGTCAGCCTTGGCAACGGGGCTGACGGCAACCACGGTGGCAGTGGCGGCGCCGCCGGTTGCGGCAGGTTCAACTGCTGCTGTGGGCGCTGCTGCTACTGGTACTGCTATGTCCGCAGTCAGAGCAGGTGCCTCTGGCGCGACGGGCTGGGCTGTGGAGAGGATGACGGAAGCCTGCTTGGCTGCTGACGTGGCAGTGGCGGGAGCAGCAACAGCGCCTCCGTTGCCTCCTCCGGCCTGTGCGGTTCTGCCTGGTTGTGCCTTGGCGGCTTCGTTTGCTGCGGCGGTCTTTGCGACTGCGCCGGCCTTGGCGGCCGCAGAACTGGGAGGTGCAGCGTTTGCGGGTTGGGGGTCAGCTGCTGGCCTGGGCGCAGCTCCATTGCCAGCGGCTTTCTTAGCTGGGCTAGCGGGCGCGGCCTTCGCCGCCGCTTGCTTCGGGCTCACCGGACCTAATGATTTTGCTGCTGTGGCATCTGATTTTGGCTTAGAAGCTGCATTATTTCCAGCCGTAGTCTTTGCCGCTACAAGGGGAAGGTGGGTGGAGGGAAAGTGTCACACACTCCTGCCCGGTTCACTTGTTGACACATGGCGAGAAGGCGTGGAAGTGATGAGAAGAAACCGAGTTATGCAGATTATAGACGTGCATCATTTATTCAATGCATATGTTATGACATTGGAAATCTTGCTCATGCTGTGAGCAAGTGAAACGACGACAAGACATGACAAAGACAACCAAAATAAATCCTAAATCTCTGACAGAACGACATCCCTACATCCAAGGTTTCAATGAGGAAATACAGGCATCTTATGTACCAAGGACTGCGTTCAGGCAGGGTGACGCGTGATGTTCGCTTCCACCCGGCTGCAACTTCGACTTACCGGTGCCAGCGACCTTTCCTTGCGAAGCAACAGGCATACTATTTCACCACGTCAAAGCATAGCTTCAGATACTCTGCAAGCTGGGCCGTTCCGTGCCTGACTCACTGTGCGGAAGCCATCATCTACTCAGGCGCGGTATGCATAACTGAGGATTAATAAAGTTTACGGTCACCCTTAGCGTCACTGTTAAAAGTATGGTGCTCTACCTACTCGTCTACAGTTCGGGTCAGGTGGGGTTCGTTATAAGCTATTGCAGCTGTACATTGCACAAGGAATTGTAGACAAAAAGATAGATATAGTGTAATAACAACATGTCACGCCTAGCTACCCTGAGGTAGAGAACTCTGCACACTAACTGCAAGTACGGTGGCTCAGAAGTAACGGAGAAAAGTGTGAGCTCTTCTCTTCTAAATATATCTACATTAGAACACAGCTGTCTGGACCGTTTTTACTACATATTGAGCGGCGCAAACGCGTCACAGATCATGAAGGAGCTTGTCGCACATTTCGCGGCCGTAGCTTGTCACCATATACACTGTTTTCACATAATGCCTTAGAAATTTTCCGGTGCTACAACCTTGGTATCCCAATGCCGAGAAGTATCAGGCAATCCGTGGGCTAGCTCTTCTTACACTGTATCCATCATCATCTCCCGCTGAGATCATCCCTTTATAACAACATCAGCCTCTGGCTCCACCTTATAGGGCCAAGAAACATAGACTCAACATAGACCTCAACGGTGCCACAGCAGGCCAATGCGACCTACAGTTGCAGCACAGCGCTTTATCAGCGTTCAGCCCTCGACGCCAAGGAAAACTCAATTCTTAAATAGGTCCCATCCAGACGGGTCCCCCATCCTCGCGCTAACGGGCTCCATTCGACCGCACCTTGCTCTGCCTGGCCCTGTCCATGCACGTCCACGCACGGCAAACCACGGCATTCCATCTCCCACCGCTTCCAGACCAGACGCATACGCACCTCCAAATTCTAACCCTACGGTCAGGGAAAGCGCCATGGTAGGCGTCCAAGAAGCCAGCCCGTGCGAGAATTGGGGCGCGCAGGCAAGCCGAGGCAAGGGAAGAGACACACACAGCCCGAAGTCCCTCAATGTTACAAATCCCCTAACCTATTACAGCCGCTTGTCTCTTTCAATCGACACAGAGTACTATGCGCCTTCACTGGGGCATGACGACCCTAAAAGCTGCCTGTCCAGAGCAGCAGCTCCAGAGACGGGAAAACACACAGCTGATTTACATGACGCGGAGTCGCACATAGCTTCGTGGCGGATCCTGCTAGAGGGTAGGACATACGGTCGGGGAGAGGCGGAATACCGGGGGCGACTTCATGGGCCATGCCCCGCCCAGCGGAGAGCTCGATGGATTAAGGCATAGATTGCATATGGCGAACATATTCTTCTCGGCAGACATCTGCATTTTCATTTGTTTTCAATGTAGCTCGTGGTACTGAGTTTAGCGGTTTATCAGAGATTTGTCATTGTTTCCACCCGAACCTATTCATGCGTACGAGTGTTGTGGGATAAACTGGACGGACTGTCGATAAAGTGTGGTGGGAAAACAGTGGGACCTCGGCAGCTGACTTGATTGGGTAATGCAGTCGTGGCCCTGAGTGCTTGCCTCCGGTAGTAGTAGTAGTGCCAGAGTACGGTAACCAGGTGTGCAAGTTTTCCCACTCTATGTCGTGGGATCGAAACTAATACGCACATGAGGCACTTGTAAGCAGCGTTATTTTTTTGCGGAATATATTCCGAATTCGGAATAAAAAAATGTTCGTGGTCCTGAAAGCTAAGAATAAATAATGTTCCAACCGTACAAGTTCATTCCACCAGCCAAAAATGGACTGTCCATGCCAAAGCAACTAGAATCTTACAGGAGACATACATGTTACCCATATCATAGTACTTTAATGCCATGGATACTGTTAGGAAGCTCACGCCCGAAAGTCAACGAGGAATCGGACTGTTTCTGACCGGACCAAACGCTGCAAAACATTCGGACCCGAAGCTCCCACAGCATTGAAGGCCATTAAAGCAGATACTAAATTTCACTGAAGCCATTAGCGACGTTAATGAAGACGGTGTAGGGGTCGTAGGCAATGTGGACGCAATGCTGCACCAGCCGACGACAATGACGCCACTCCGGTTGTCAACAGCGAGCGGGCCAAACATCAATGTTCCTCATATGGATACAATCGCGATGGGCCAGGAAACAGGTTGCGTTTGGTGGTTCCGGTTCATTGCTGCTATGCATCATTACTTCTGCAACCTGGAAAGTCGTGTAGTGTTATCTTTCAACGTGATGCAAGACGAACGATGGTGAACGAACTCTATTCGATCAGTGCTTGAGAGATTGGTGTGCGCGTGTTGCGACATTCCGACATTCCCCAAACCCGGCGATTGCACGAACTAAACTCTAACTCATCGGGGGGTGGTCTGGGGGGGGCGGAGCCCCCCCCAGCGCCTTACAGATTCGGAATACCTTTATTCCCCCGACTAAAAACCTATTCCTCCGTTCGGACTGGAAAATTAACCGGCAGAAATGAAAAAAAAACACTGCTTGTAAGCGGTCCTCTTGCAAAGTTTTTCTGTAAATTCCTTAAAAGTCATGTGCTTTTGGATGCCAGCCCCAGCCAATCCTGCCAACTTGACAGCCAATTCGACACCCCGAACAGGCCAATTCAATACCCTGTTAGGCCAATTCGGCACCCGGACAGGCCAATTCGACACCCGGACAGGCCAATTCAGGCCCAGCACAGCCCAATTCCGAGGCTCCACAGCGCAATTCGAATACCTCCGGCGGGTCCGCCAGAACAATTCCAGACCTCGGCAGAGCAATTCTTTTGTCAGGAATAAAATCCAGGCTAATTATGCGACAGAGCTCTTCCCTAATTCCAGCCCGAATCCTACCCTCCTATCCTGCCGCACAAATTTTATCTTTTTTATTTATTTTTGAAACCCTCCAATGCCATGATTCGCAAACCAGCAACGCCAGTCATTGCGCCTGTACTACTGAAACCACATATCAGTTAAGGTTCCCACCCTACCAATAACCCCGATTACGTGAACATTGCCAGCCAGCTGTTGGCCAGCAAACAGCGGGGCAGGAAGTAGCGGGGTAATTAGGTGGAGAGATTGAGCATCATCAGCTCCTGAGAACACGTGAGAAAACTCCACAAGAACCGCAGTCAGGAGCCGCCGGCTGCGTGCAGCCCCCGTGCTGCTACAGATAGAGCCTTGAGGCTAGTTAGCCTAGTCAGGCTACATTTGCGGAAAGAAGCATTTGCTCTCTCACGTACGGCGCTGTCAACACGATTGGAATACTACTGGATACTCCTGCATGTCGTGCTCTAACTCGTACTTCGTCAATGATTTATTCACCCCCAACTGTAGCTCTTATTAATTTTAAGAGCCGCAGTCAACTCTTTTCTCGACCATGCCAACACTCTTGCCACTCCGCCACTCCGCCTATCCGTCCGTCCGTCCGTCCGTCCGTCAGTCCGTCAGTCCTTCAAGATGAGAAAGGAAACAGAGGATTTTGCAAAGAACGGCTCCTTCCTAACCCCCGCCCCTCGCCAAAAAGATGGAGCAATGACGCTTGATGGTGGCCTTGCTGGGTGCGTATGTAAGTACGTACGTGCAGGCGGCTCGCAAGTGGCCGGGTAGGGGGGGCCTAATAGAGACGCCCCGTAACCCAGGCAGTCAGCCGCCGGGTGCAGCCAGCGGAGTAAAACGTCATTTCCTTCCGGCTGCGTGCCGCTGAGTGAATGTGCAGAGAGACGCTGAATGCGCTTGCTCGCATGCTTGCTTGCTTGCTTCCCTTCGCACCGCTTAGAAGCGTACCTACGTACCTACGTACCTACGTGTGTCGTACACGGTAGGATATAGCGTATGGTTTTAGATTCGCACCATTTCCCCCCCCCCCCCCAACACACACCCAGCACCCATCGGAACCAGGCGCCACCTCCCTCCCGCCCACACAGCCAACCCCTAAGCCCTCATCTTCCCTCCTCAACCCCCTTCTGGGCCCTCAGCGGCCGCAGCCCCCAAGCCAGCCTATTCGGCCCACTCCAGGGAGCACCACACAACCGCTGGCGCCGTAAGAGGGGCCCACGTGGGGCGGTAGGGGTGGGGGGAAGTGGCAGGCGTACCGTAAGGAGAGGAGGGACTGGGGATATGGATGTGGGGGTGTGCGGGTTTGGGAGTGTGGGAGGTGCTCCCGGCAACGGGGGCACCGAGGGAGGCTCAGGTGGTGATGTGAAGAGGGTCGAAGTATGTGACTGTAT